ACGGGCCGAGGCAGGAGAGCGGATGGGGAGAGCTTCCCCCGCTTGTGCTCGATATGCTTACCAACCCCCCGTAGACACGTATCGGCGCCAGAGTGACGGAGGCAGGACCAGATCGAGCAAGGGCGAGGGCGAGAGGCGAGAGAGAGAACGGCGCGAGGGTCCCCGATGGGATGAGAGAAGATGGGCGAGGCGGAGAGGCGTGAGAGAGACAGGAGTGAGGAGGGGACGAGACGAAGGAGAGAGGGAGGAATAGGCGGAGGCAGGAGTGGGAGAGAGAAGGTGCGGGGAGAGGGAAGGGAGAGAAGGAGGGGAGAGAGAAGGAGGGGAGAGCGCAGGGACGAGAAGCGGCTGGAGGAGAGAGGCGCAGACGGGAACGTGGCGCAACAGCGGACTTGAGAGTCGTGCGTAGCATGACTTGAACGAAAAACAGACGAAAGAGACGAGAGAACAGTGAGAGTGAAGAGAGAGCAAGATGAGAGGATGGAGGATAGACGAGTAGAGATGACGACCAAGACTGAGAGACGAGAGAGAGAAAGAGAGCAGAAAAGAGAAAGAGAGAGACGAGGCAAGAGGCGAGAAAGACCGGACAAGGAAAGAGAAGACAAGAGCACGGAAAGAGACACCGAGCAGCAGAAGCAGAACCGCAGACTAATGAAGAGAGAGAGAGAGAGAGAGAGAGAGAGAGAGAGAGAGAGAGAGGGACACACACACACTCACTCACTCACACAGGCATTAGCGCGACACATCCTAGACCGGCGCCGTTCTATTGCAGGCTCAGCTGCGGGCCTTCATCCCGATGATGCTGAAGTACAGCACGGGCCGCGGCAAGCCCGGCTGGGGGCGCCCGTCTACGCGGCCCGTCTGGTGGCCCGACGATCTGCCGTGGGCTAATGTGAGGAGCGATGTGCGCACCGAGGAGGAGAAGCAGAGGGTGAGACTGCCACCGCCTCTTACTCATCGCCCCGCGCTCCTAGCTCTTCGTTAACACATTCGTGTTGGGGGAGGTGTCACGTCCCCAGTCTATGCTGTGACGGGTTCTTCGATTTTATGAATTCGCCTGTTGGAGATGGAAAATTATATGTTTTTTTGTGTGGGTAATATGGATCGCATGCGCAATTCCTCTATCGGCGCTAGTTTTTTCCCTAGCATTTCTTTTCGTTGTTAGAAACGAATTAAAATGATATTAAATGTGCCGGCGTTCACAGGGCGTTCACTTCTTCATGATCTGGTCGTGTTGTCATTTGATACCCTAACCCCAACCTAACCCAATTTTGAGATTCAGGCTCTAGGTCGTAAGCAGGAATTTGTCGTCGCCCGCACCGGTCGTCGCGGCAACGCTCCCTCCCACGCATGCTGCCTCACGGTCTCGCGCGCTCACGCGAGGCTCGAGACGATTGCAGCTCGAGAGTGTTTGAGGCCCCCTCACATTCCCCACGAGGCAGTCGATATCACTGCCCTACCCAATCTCCATGAGGCATTCAGGGGTCGAAATAAGCGATGGTCCGATGGTCCGGGGCCATCAAATAATCAAGAGGACCATCAGATTTTCAAAGTCAATGCTCCGACGGACCATTGAATATTTTGGTCCAATTTTACAGTAGTTTTCTTTGAAGTTTCCACGTTCCAATATACTATTAAAGTGAATACACAATTACTGTATCGTTTGATGCATTTATTGTAGGTGAATAATTAAACCATTTTATCACCATGTAAAATCTCTTTCTTACGCTTGCACGCCGCATTACTTTTAGAGAACAATTTGAAATTTATGAGGACCATCTAAAATTTAGGAGGACCATCTAAATTTCAAACTAGATTGTCCACAGGACCATCTCTTTTTTTCTCTTTATTTCTACCCCTGGGCATTCGAGACCCACCCCCTCCCCCGTAAAGCCCACGCCCGCCCACCCACGCGCGCGTGCTTTGAGAGCGAGAAGTAGCGTTTGCTGCGGGCAGCAGCCTGAGTTACGGTAACGTTGCCTCAGCTGCCGTTGCAGGTGCCGTGGACCCAGGCTCTTCGCACGATCGTGAAAAACTGCTACAAGCACCACGGCCGCGAGGACCTTCTCATCGAGTTCAAGGAGGAGGGCATCGACAGAGGAAACCATCAGCCGCACCACATGCCCTCCACAGCCCACCAGGTCGGTTAGCTAACCAGGTCGAGTTAGGCCTAAAAAACAGAAGACGCTTGTTTCCGCTAACCCGACCGAGTCCATTTTAAACCGCCGTGTCGAAACTATTTATTGTGATCGGCAAAAAAATCCCTTAAAAATAAAAAAATTCCCAACGTGATATCGATCGGTGAATGCATTGATTTGACTTTGAAGTCCTTATATGGGCTGTTATAAGTATAAAACAAGTATTGTTGGAATACACGCACAAAAAATCGATAAAAAAAAGTTTTGCCTGCCTACCGTGTCCAATTTTTTTCAGCTCGTTAGCGGAAACAAACATCTTTTTTTCTTAGGCCTTAGCAGGAGGAGGGAGGGGGTGATGCGGGGAGGTCACGATAGGATGTGTGGCATGATGTGGGTAGCTCACTGTTCTCTCCATATCACAATACGGGTGGCTCATAAAATGATACGTATCATGATATGGTTAGCTCGCAGTACAATTGATCACGATACGGGTAGCTCACGATATGAAACGTATCACGATACACCCGTAACGATGTGGGTAGCTCACGTTACGTTACGTATCACGATACGGGTAGCTCACGATATGAAACGTATCACGATACACCCGTAACGATGTGGGTAGCTCACGTTTACGTTAACGTATCACGATACGCGGTAGCTCCACGGATATGAACGTTCATCACAGATACCCCGTAACGATGTGGGTAAGCTCAACGTTTTACATTCGTATCACGATAAGGTAGCCCTCACGCATATGAAAACGTGTCACGGATAGCACCGTAACGATGTGGGTAGCCTCACGTTAATTCCTATTCATGATACGGTAAGCGTCACGATATGAAACGTTATTCACGATACCCCGTACGAGTGTGGGTAGCTTCACGTTACGTTCCGTATCACGATACGGGTAGCTCACGATATGAAAACGTATCACGTACACCCGAACGATGTGGGTAGCTCACGTTACGTTACGTAGGCACCATAGGAGTAACTTCACGATTATGAAAACGATATCACGATTTACCCCGTAACCGAAGTGGTGTAGAACGATACGGCATCCTTACGCGATACGATACGTATCACGATATATCTTTCGCGATTCTGGTAGTTTACTATACAATCTTTATCACGATATAGCCTTCGACGACCTGCTGTTGCCGACGGCAACGTGATGATGTTTATCAGTTAAATAAGTTCAGTTCGGTTTGGTTAGATAATTAGGATATCCTCGGTTAATTTTTTTATCAACCGTGTTGATTCAAAAACGTACTGGCTGACGTTTCGCCTCCGATCAGGAGCTTCTCAAAGCTGACTGAAGTATCAGATTTGACACCAGATGGCCCGTTTAGTGGTCAACGGCTTGGTCCACACGCGGGTTGACGTGAGTGTTTTGTTGTTTGCGTAGGTGACACACTACTCGCCGACGATGGTGCAAACAATCAACAATCCCGATGGCACGGTGTCCATCATACAGGTAAAGGTAATGGTATCACCTCACATCATAGGTGTGTGTCGTGCTGCATGGCCTGTTCGTCATAAGCACGTCATCCTTCACGCTCATCGTCATCAATTTTTATTTATTATTATTATTATTATTATTATTATTGCTCATCATCGTTAGTATTATTTGTTGTAAGTTATTATGTCATTATTATTATCCATTATTAATTATATTATTGATTATATTAACGTATTATATTATTATTATTATCATTATATTTTATTATTATTATTTATGTCATATTTGTCGTGTTGTTATTCGGATTTATTGATCGTATTATTATTTATTGATTTCGGTTACGCTGCAGTTATCTGCTATGATTTATTACGTGTATCATGTGATTCTGTGACATGAGTGAGTTTCACGTTTCTCTTTAGTTTACATTTGTACTTTTATGGCTTGTGTTAGTATATTCGCATGTGTTCACGCGCGGGAGCAATTGAGAGAGAATGCATAAGAGAGTAAAAGTAAGCTCTTGTTTTATTCTCTAATTGAATTTTCTCTGGGACGAAAATCTAACGAGATGCGCTAACGAGATATCGGCGTACTTGTAGCCCCTTCGAATCTCTAATGAGGGGATGTGTCGTCGCACTGGTGCCCACAGGTCTTAAGAAAGTAGAAGCACAGAAGGATAAAATCCTCAGTGCATAATAAAAAGCAAGCGCGTCGGCGGCTGCATTGCTAGGGGTGTCTGGGGCATGGCCCCCCTGACTAATTTTTGAATGGTGGACGGTACTGGAGATGCAATTCTGGTGAGTTCCTTGCGAGGAGATGATTCATAGCGAACAAAATGTGAGAGAACAAAATTGTCTAACCCGAAATTCTACGGAACAAGCACTGTGCTTGCAAGTGCTTCTATCTGCGGGCGCCACTGGCGATCGCTCTGCGTTGACCCGCTAGGTTGCGTGATATTTTGTTCCAGTTGCGTGGAGGTGACGGGCCTAGTTCGCGCGAGGGTTCTAGCCGTGTGCGTTCAGACGTGACCCGGGTGCGTTGTTTTTGTTGTCGGCCGACAGGTGGACCCGGGCAACGACGATTGGGTTGACGCTGCAGCATGGAACACAGGACTCAAAGTGCAGACGGTGAGGGGAACGCTGCAGTGTTAATGAGTGGCTGCTTGCCCTTTCTAGATCGTAGTTCCTTCCCTTGTAGTGGTGGGTGCTGCTGCTGCTTCTGCTGCTGCCTGCTTGCTGGCTGTTGCTGCTTGCTGTTGTGGGTTGATTTGGTGGTGGTGGTGTTGTGCTGGCTTCTCTCAGGTGGTGGTGGTTGGTGCTGCTGCCTGCTGTGGGTGGTTGGTTGTGGTGGGTGTGCCCTACTTGCCTGCTGGTGGTGTGGTGGTGTGGTGGCTGGTTGTGGTCGGTGGGTGCTGCTGCTGCTGACTGCTGCTGTGTTGCTGCTGTTTGCTGCTGCTGGTGTGGTGGTGGTGTTGGTGCTGCTGCTGCTGGTGGTGGTGGTTGCTGCTGCTGCTGAGTGGTGTTCGTGGTTGTGTGGTAGAGTGGTGCTGCTACTGCTGTGGTGTGGTGGTGGTGGTGGTGGTTGGCTGGTGGTGCTGGCTGCTGCTGCTGCTGCTGCCTTGCTTGCTGGTGAGTTGTGGTGCTGCTGCTGCTTGCTGCTGCTCGCTGCTGCTGCTGCTGGTGAGTTGGGGTGGTGGTGCTTGCTGCATTGCCTGCTACGCTGCTGCTGTGCTGGTGGTTGGTGGTGCCTGCTGATGCTGCTGCTGTTGCTGCTGCTAATGCTACTGCTGCTGTGGTGGTGATTGGTGTGGTGGGGTGGTGGTCGGTGGTGCTGTGCTGCTGCTGACTGCTGCTGGCTGCTGGGTCGGCTGGTGGTGGTGGTTGGTGGACTGGTGGCTGTGCTGCTGCTGCTGTCTGCCTGGTTGGTCGGTGGTGGTGCTGCTGCTGACTGCTTGGTGTGGTGGTGGTGCGTGCTGCTGCTGCTGGTGGTTGTGGGTGTGGTGGTGCTGCTGCTGCTGTGCTTTTGGTGGTGGTGCTGCTGCTAACTGCTTGCTGCTGCTGCTGCTGGTGGTCTCGGTGGTGCTGCTGTGGGTGAGTGCTGGTGGTGCTGCCTGTGCACTGCTTGTGCTGGTGGTGCTGCGTGTTGGTAGTGCTGCTCGGTGGTCGGGCTGCTGCTGCTGCTGGTTGTGCCTGTTGCTGCTGCTTGGTTGCTGGTGTGGTGCTGCTGCTGCTGCTTGCGTAGCGTGGTCGGTGCTGCTGCTGCATGCTGGTGCTGCTGCCGCCTGCTAGACTGCTGGTGCTGCTGCTGCTGATGCTACTGCTGTGGTGGTGGTGTGCTGCTGCTGCTGCTGTTGGCTGCTGCTGCTGCTGCTGTTGCTGCTTGCTGTGATGGTGCTGCTATTATCTTCTTAATTTCTGAGCACTCCATGCTCACTTGTTTAGCGTAGCGCGACGTTGCTAACGACGGTGCCTCTCCCTGGTGGCAGTATTCACAGATCAACACGGCTCACAGGTGGAGGCGCCGCAGGCAGTGCAGACGCTCGCGGACGTTGCCGCAGGCGACGCAGCACGGAGTCGCCTCGACCTCAGCCACCACACGGAGTCACGATCAGCGAGGATGGCCAGCTGATATTGTCCGGCGAGGCGCTCACCCGCAGACCCGAACACAGGTGGCGCCACCTTTCCAAACGACGCGTCGTCGCGCGCCTCTCGTTCTCTCGCCGAGATTTTTTTTTCGGTCCGCGTTTCAAGTTTCGTCGGTTTCTCGCGAGATTTCGCGATGTTTTTTTCAGATGTTCGGAGTTTTTAGCGTCTCGCGCGCGTTCGCCGTGTCGCGACTTCAGTGAACAAGCGAGCGTCTCGTGTTAGACCGGACGTTAGATGTTGGGTCATTCGCGATTAGAGGCGATTAACGATGTACTTGTAGATATGCCGTTCTAGAGGTTTTCTGATGACTCTGCAGGTTACTGCTGTTTAACCGTTAAATTGACTTACGTCACAATTTTCTATGGTAAATTTGTAACAATTTTCTGTTGCCATTTTTTATACAATAAAGAGTAAGAACTAATGGGAATAGACGTATCCGTCAAATTATTAGTCCTGATAAGTTGTTTTCTCAACTGAGTTAAAAAATCCAAAAACCTGGACGATCTTGATATTAGCTTGATTCCTGACATTAATTGCTTGCTGTATGGGCTATGTATGGGGTCACGACGTGTAATGTTTCACATCGAACAATATAGTCAATAGGAAGTATAATGCAGCATTATAACCATAAAAGTGAACAGAATTACTTAGATTTGTGAAAATTGGACTGGAAATATATTTATTTATTTTTACTTATTTGGGAGTGGACGTTTATCACTTTAATAAAAGTGTTACGTGTTACGTTAATTCTAATTAATTAATTAAGACGAATTTAATATTGTAGTTATGCTTGTCGCTTACTTTACTACAGTAGTAGCAGACGCGTTTGCGTGATTTCGTGTGACGACTGACGAATAAAAATGCGGTCGGTCGAACAAAAAGTTAACAGCTTGCGAGTCGCGCACCACCAGCGGCGACCTAGCGTTATGCGAGTTGTCCAAGCTGCCACGCGTCGACTGCATGTGTAAATTGCACGCCACCAGGTGGCGACGGCATCTGCACGCGTGCCGCCAGGTGGCGCTGACGTCTGACGCGCTGTCTTTGTTGCCCGGCAGGTGTCGTCACGATTCCTGTCTCCATGTACCAGACGGTGGTGAGTCACATGGGCCACCTCGGGGAAGGGCAGATAGTGCCGGTGTGCATGCCTATAGTCACCACTGCCGGCAACACTAACGCTACCTCATCACAGGTAAGGAGGAGGGCAGAGGTGAGGAGGGAGGGCGGGAGGTGGAGAGAGGTGAGAGAAGGGGAGGAGGGGGAGGGGAGAGAGAGAGAGGAGGGAGGAGAGTGAGCGGAAATAGAGGGAAAAGAGGAGAGGCAATGTGCGGCCAAAGGAAGCGATGACAGAGAGATGCAGAGCGAAATGAGAGAGCGGGGAGAGGGGTCAGAACAGACAGACAGACAATTCAGACACAAAATCTCTAACTGGTTGAAATGGTCGACGGAGAGAGAGAGTTTGTGTGGTATGTGTCTGATGTGCATGTGTTCGTGCGTCTGCGTGGTGTGCGTGCGTGCGTGGTGGTCCGTGTGTGTAGGTTAAGCGAGAGGAGGAGGGAGCCGCAGTGAAGTTAACTTTCCCGCTCTGCTTAACGCTTAGTGCCGTGCGGTGGCGTGCTGTGCGTGGCCGGTGCGTGCGTGGTGCCGTGCGTGACGTGTGCTGTGTGCGTTTGCGATGCGTGCGTGGTGTGATGTGTTGTGAGGTTAGAGAGGAGGCGGAAGCCGACGTTAAGTTTAACTCACCGCTCTCTTAACGTTGTGGTGCGTAGGTGCGTGCGTGATGCGTTGTGCGTACCAGTGTGGTGTGCGTGCGTTGTCGTGCGTGCGTAGTGTGATGTTGAGGTAGAGAGAGGAGGGAGCCGCGGTAAGTTAACTCAGCCGCCCTTCTTAACGTTGTGCGTGCGTGCTGTGCGTCGCGTGCAGTAGCTTGCGTGTGCGTGCGTGTGCGTGTTTGTGTGAGGTAGGAGAGGAGGGGAGCCGCAGTAAGTTAACTCCCGCTCTCTTAACGTTCCCGCAGAGACAAATTTGCTCGGCGATGAAGAGAGAGCTTATCGTCGATTGAACGGGCCGCCGCCGCCGCTCCCGCCGCGCGTGATTGGTTCGTCGTCGCCGGCGCGCGTGCGGTCGCCAGCGTTGTCGCCGATGATCTCTCAGTGTCGACGGCGGCGATGACGGTGATGGTGACGATGACGCGAGAGGCGCGAGACGCGAGGCGTGGCGAACAATACCGCAGACCGTTGCCAATCTCCAGCCGGCCGCTTGTTGACAGGTTGCCATGGCGACGCACGCGCAGCCGCTGGAGATGGGTCAGGGCGACGTCCCTCACGCGACCAACGCCGTCGAAGTGATGTCCGTCGACGCGAGCAACTGACAGATGGCGCCACCGATCGACGCCGGCGGCAGCGCTCAGTCGTCGACGCGGCCGCCCGGCCGCCATGTTTGATCTCAACGCTCGCACGCTGAGGCGCCCCCTGGCCACAGTCGGGCGCTACCTAGCCTTAAAGAGTGTGGAGAGTGAGAAACAGAGTACTAGTGAGACATCGTGCTTTCAGTATGTATATATATATATCTATACATGAAAATAAATATATGTATATCCA